GAAAATATGCAAACTGGCCAAGCAGTCATTCATTCAGTCAGCCAATGAATATTAATGAGGTACCTTTTATATGGCAGGTATTAGGCAAGGTGCTGTATAGTATCTACTTGTTCCAAGTACCAAGATTTAAATATTTTCATAGAGAATCTGCTCCAGAAATTTTCTAAGCAAGCTACATAAACTACACATTTGGTGTACTTTTGAGTCTGATTTCTAAATCATTGATAGGTAGTACTTCTGAATAAGATAGAATACTCTAGAAAGCAAAATCTCCTTTTGCAATCCCTTCTCAAACCTTCCCCAGTTCCCACTTCTTGATACATTAGCTCCAGTATGTGCTTACTCGCATACGCACACACAAACATGACATCTAACTTGGGCTTAGGGGTCATCAACTGTGTAACTCTTTCATAAACTCAGAAAAGACCATGTTTACTCTTCTATCATCAATCATAACCTGCTTTTGTCTAAACTAAAGCCTCCTTCATTCATCATTTCACCAATGAGTACAATTAAGAGACAGGGTCTCAACTGGTCACAGCATCTTTTCCACAGTTTAACAATTGGAAGGCGCATGGCCTTAGAGATTCATTCACATAAATAAATGTAACTTTATCACACACTTATGTGAACACAGCCAGATTTACAACTGCACTGAAAATTCTCCAGGCCACCCTTTTTGTATGCGTACGAGGCCACAAAAATTTTGCCAGTGGCCACATTTTTATCAAGTATCTGCTCCTTTATCCTAATGCAGTAGAGCTGGGATCTACTTGTCAATGTCAGTTTGTATTATAGGTGTGGTTACTGCATGGACAAGCTCTGTTAAAAAGAGAAAGATTGTGGAGTTGGCTTCATCTCAAACGTCTGTGTCTGATTCACGGACATCTGTGTCTCCCTGAGAAATAACTTTTGCACAACCAGAGCTGTCCAACAAAGAAATAAACCACTTCCTATGGGAGTGGACTCCTCCTGATAGGAAGCGGTTAGGCTGAGCCGCTTCTCAGGGCTGCAGGGAAGGCCTTCCAGCACGTCGATGGGGAGGCAGAGCCTGCCTGGGATGTGAGGATGCCACATTGATGAGGGAGGTGGCTTCTGCTCACACACGCTTACTGCGGAATGGCGCCCCGCGAGGGTCTGCGATTTCATAGCAAGCTATTTGGAGAAGCAAGGGGTTGGCTGTGTTTCAGAGTAGGCTCCAATGGAAGACATTAGTGTTGGTCTTTGCAATAAGCCTCTGGGGCATGGAAGCTCAAGTCATGTGGTCAAGCTACAGAACAGAACATGGTGGGCTGGCAGCCACAGCCCGGGGAAGTCAAAGTGGTGTTTTTAGACCTTGGTGGGCAGAAAGGTGCTTTGTCCCCCGACTGCTTGACATCATTATTTAATCAGCTGCCAAGCCAGCTGTTGGCTCTTGAATGTGTCTCTGCTCCTCTCGCACCCCATCCTCTCAATATCAATGCTGGTACAGCCCACTGACCTGCAGGGAGGTGTCTTTCTGAAGCTCTGCGAGCTGCCTTTTCCTCTGGAGGAAATCAAACGCAACACTAATGTGAGGAGGATCCCCAGGCTCTTTCTGTAGGACTTGAAGAGCAGAGGTCCGGGGCCCTGCTTGGGAAAGCAGAGTGAAGAAAAGCAAATCCTCCCCTAAAAACGTGCTTTTGCTACTCAGGGGAATTTTCCTGAAGCCTGGGAGAGCCCGCGTGAGCTTTCTTCTCAAGTACAACGTTTTGGTGAAGTCCGTGTGTGATCATACCACTGTAACCACAAAGGAATTTACCACAGGAAGTGTCCCAGCTGTTGCCTATTAGCATTAGAACAAATTACACAAAGCGAATTGTTAGCAGACATGTTTCCGTCATATTTAACGGGTGGCGATAAATAAGAGCGATTTTCTTTCAGATAAATGCTACATTTCCCAAAGTCCAACTTCCAAATGTCCATGAAGGAATCATCTCCGATTAGGAGGGGAGGACACCCTGGAAGCTGAGGTGCCAGCGCTCAGGCCGATGGCACAGCCAGGGCTCAGGCCGGAAGCTCAGGGGCCGGTGTGAGTGGAGCGGGGTGCTGCGGCGGGAGTGACGTCACAAGACGTCAGCGGGAATGCCTGTACCTCTGCGTATCTGACCACCTGCTGGATTCGCCTCTGGGGTTCTCAGCCCTGGTTCTCATGCCGCAGGGAAAACGGCACTTGGCAGGACAACTCTACTCAGGCCTTGGAGTGTGTTTATGACAAAAACAAAACAAAACAAAAAAAAAAAACAAAACAAAACCCACGGGCAGGTTTTCACCCTTCTCCTAAACAAAATATTGCAGTATTTAAAAATTTTCTACCCCTTCACAATCTCATGTCTTGTTATATGAGATTTAAAAAACGACAACTACAGTCAAATCTCCTCATTGTCTAACTCCATTGGAGAAAAGTTGAAAAAGTGCCTCTCAGACAGAACGTCAGACAGCACCCATCCTCTGCTCGGATGCAGGGAAGCCTGGCTATTTCTTTGGAAGAGAAGCAGGATAGTTTCACCTCTCAAGGCCTTCTGACAATACCTAAATTCGAGTCCCTAGTCACCTCTGGGCATTTCCAATTATCTTCAGAGATACGACAAAATTCTCCTAAAATAACTTCAAAAAACGATTTTAAAATAATGTTAATTTTTAAAAAGTAAGAAATATTTCATACAGGACATAACTACAAAAATAGGTTATTGCAGTTTAAAGGGTTGGGACTGTTAGAAGAGGGGCTCTTTTCCTGTTTTCTTAAGAAATTTATAGTTTTTGTCTTCCTTCCCTCGCTGATTTCCTTCTCAAGCAAACCAACCTGAGCTGGGTATTCATTTGCAATGGATTTCATTATCATAGTTGGTCTCCCAAGGACCTCTTCACTCCTTTTACCTATTGAAAGGAAAAAAGCTTAGCAGCCCCGCTGAAGGCAAATGATAGGAACTCAGTGTACACACTAGTGGTCGGTGAACAAGGTGTGAAGATAGGGGCTCCCTGCTCACAGCTCTCCCCTGGCTAGGCCTCTCCGCTCAGCTACAGAGAGCCTCAGTCTTTGCCTGAGTTGGGCCGGCCCAGAAGCCCCCAGCTGCCTCCAGGGTGCACCCTGCTGGCATTAGAGGGTATTCCTAGTAGGAACAGCTAGAGCAGGCTCTGCCTGTGTGTTACAGAGCTGTCAGGCATATTCAAAGAACGAAGCAAATATAATAGCTGATATACTCCCAGCCACTTCCTTTGGTTCTTCCAACCAGTGTCAGAAAACTCTCTCTCCCCCCGCCCCCCATCTTTTACCCGAAGTCTTCACCAAAGGAATAATGTGCTTCGTAAAATATTTAAACGACATTAGGCAATATAATTATCTCTAGATTTTTTTAAAAACTGTTTAACTGAAAAGTATGATTGAAAATATTTGGAACATAAACTCTCTCTCGCTCTCTCTCTCGTTTGGAATGACGCAAAACTAATAGCATTGTTTACCACAATCTGAAGGAAAGCTACTGCAGTGGAATAACAACTACCCTATGTTGTGAGGGCCCCAAATAAGCTCACCTTTAGACAAGAGTGACACACACCGCCTGACTCTTTAAGGTCTGTTGAGAGGAAATGGCCTGGCAAGTTTTACATTTGCTAAGCTTTTTAGCTGCCTGGTCTGACAAGATTTTTGAAAGGGGTGAAAATTAATTATAATTGCAGTATCGCTACTATAATTTGGTCGGCTAATTACATTCCAGTGCAAAAACAGGCAAGAAAGAATTTCCTCCCCGGGCTATTCTCTGATGCGGCAGCATTCGCTTTAAGAGTAATGAGATTTTTAAAAAGTCAAACCTTAAATATCATGGCTTCGGCAATCTGTCCTGCTTAAAGTTTAATGCAAAATGAGATAGCACCTCCATGAGAGCAGTTCCACATGAACAAGGATCCAGTTTTCTCCCAGACATGAGATGGGAACATCTCTCTACCCTGAAAACCACACAAAGTATCTCTTTGACATTGTTTGGGGATGATCTTAATTTGGGAGCACAATATTCATGTTTTTGTAGTGAGGGAGGCGCTAGTGAGCGTGAGTAGAAAACTTTGAGTCTCTAAATGAGGTATATGTTGATGGAAGAGGCACCACGAGTTTCAAAGGGTTGAGCAGAAATAGTGGAGTGAGGAATACGGGTTGTCGTGGGGTTTCCAGATCTCACACAGCATGGTGTGGAGCATTTCTTATGGCCTCCATCTAAGTCTTACCTGCTGAACAGAGGATCGACCTGCAAATCTACTCAGGGCTGCCCTCAAGTTTATAGAGGCCATGCCCTGCACAAGGGCACCTGGTGGATGGGGCGAAGGGGCTGAAATCCTACCCTGTTCCTCTCTCCAGCCAAGACCCTGGCTCAGGCTGCCTCCCGGAGGTAGGTGAGCCTTTTCTAATTTATGTTTGGGCCAAGGAAAGTTCTGAGCTTCTCTTTGATCCTCACCGTCCAGATTGTAAAGTCTGGTCTTTATCTCCTCATTGCCAACACTATGGATGTTTTTTAAGGAAGAGGATAGGTCAGTGACAAAAGTGAATTCATTTTGAAGATATGTTTTCTGTTCAGTGAAAGAGGAAGGAAAAAAGAGAGAGGGAAAGGGAGGAAGGAGAGGGATAAAAAGAAGAACGAAGATGAAATTTTTCTTCTGCCTAGTAAACTGTGGATATATTGTCCTTCCCTGGACACAGCTGCAAAGGGGTAGAAAATCAATGTTTTTCCTATTACTCCATGGTGAGGAAGGAAAACCTAATTGCAAATTGAATTAAACCCAATAATAGCATGTCTGTGTATTTGTTGAGGACTAGAGAAATTAGCCACACATACAACTACGTAATCCAGGAAGGTACCTAGAAATCAACACTTTCCCATTTCAAAGCTTAGTTGAGACATTTTTCTTCTTTTTTAAAGAAACACCCATGGCTAAATGTCACTAAGACTCTTCGGCGTGCCAACATACTGACACCTCAGTGAGGATTCTGGAAGGGAAGAAGCTCCAAAGCCCCATCTGGGAAGAATGTACTTCCAAATTCTTGCCTTTGCTGCTTGTACATCTCAGTCAGTAATCATGATTGGATACGAACTAGAACATTCTAGGAGATGATTTCTTTCCAATTACCTTTGGGAGGTAATTAGGTCTTCCCAAGTTACAAACTGCGGTGCTGACCTTGAAATAAATTCCCTATGTCTGTGTGGGCTAGATTTTCTTCACAGAAACCCTAACCCATCTATTGAGTACCGAATTCTCGGGCTACAGCAGGGAGGGTCCTGAAGTTTCATTAGCAGTCTGCCCTCTAGTGGGATAAAACAGTACTTCAGATAACTAGGAATAAAAAAGATTTTTTTTCTTCCCTTCAGAGAGCAAAAGAATTCAAGTTTTCCAGATAGTGCAAGGTGAGGCATTTATCCTCAAAAGACAGCTTCCAGAGCTGAATCAGGCAAGGCTCACAATGATAGGTCCCGGGGTCAGAGTCAAAGGCAGGTGGTGCTGTGGTGGGCGCCCTCGCGAGGCCTGCAGAGACAGGTTCTTCTCACATCCTTGGAACCCTCCTGGGTTCTTCTCCTTGGGCAATAGCATTCAGTTCCCCACTCTTTCATTGTAAAAATGGGACCCACTCTAATGGCAACCAACCTATCAGGAATGTTACAAGTAATAGGCATTTTTGTAAATTTTTTTTGGCAAATCATTGACACCAAGGAGCCTTTCAAAAGGACCAGGTTGAATTTTTGAAAAGGCGGAGATGTGCGAGTTTTGTAAAAAGACTACATCTTTGTGGCTGTTGTTTCTAAGAAGAGAATCTCTTTCTTGGTGGTGGCTGGATGTTGGTAAGGCAGAAGATAACCTTGAGACCTGCTGTCTGGATTCGGCTTCTGCCTTTTAAAAATCTTCAGAACTTGGCCTGCTTCAGTTTGTCAATATGGTAGCAGAGTTTCAGCGCAGGTCCCAGCTTCAGGCCCAAGTATTTCATAATCATATCGCTCTTCAGCAACAAGAGGGCGTTGCCATCAATCTCCTGGTGGGACAGGATGAGAACAAAGGAAACCCAGAAGACAGTAAGTGTAATTAAATACCGAGTACAGCTCAAGTGTGGTCAGGGGAGGAGGGAAGGGAGCGTGGATATCCTTGGATGCACATCCTCTTAGTCCCAAGACCAGACCTTCTTTAAAAGATAAAGCATAAATACTATCTGCTCCTCTTCCCATCATCTCCTTGGGGTAATTAAATTCAATGGCTTTTTCATATTCCTGCTTTATCCTGATTGAAGGACTCAAACATAACCCCATATGGTCCCAGTATACCACGTATGGTGTTCATCTCCTCATCCAATCTAGGGCTAACTGAGCAAGAAGTCTGTGATGGACTGAGTGTATGCCCCTCCCCCCATTCATATGTTGAAATCCTAACCTCCATTAGGTGGTTACTTTAGGGGGTAATTAGGTCATTATGTGGAGCCCTTGTGAATGCGATTAGTGTCCTTAGACAACAAGAAGATGGCAATATGTAACCAGGTGGAGGGCTCTCACTAGAAGCAGACTAGGCTGGTGGTGGGCTTCCAGACTCCAGAACTGAGAAGTAAATTGTTGTTGTTCGGAAGCCAGCTGGTGTATGGGACATTGCTATAGCAGCCTGAACTGACTAAGACAAAATGTCATCCATCAGACTCTGCAACTAGTGGTTCCCTTTCCATTCCAGGTGCTGATTGTAAGGTCCCGACTCCCATCCATCACCCTGATCTCTTTGTTTCTAAACCCACCTACCTTTAGCTGATTACTAGATTGCTAATTACACTCTGGGAGCAAGTTCAGGTGTTTTGTTGTGTTTTGGGTTTTTTGTTTTTTGGGGTTTTTTTTTTGGCCCCATCAATAATTCTGGGTGGCATACAACTAAATAACCCATCTGCTTAATCCCAGGGGTTAGCACAAAGGACTACTAAAAAAAAAAAAATGGCGATCCCTTGAGGTCTCGGCGTTGCCCCCATTTGTCATGTTGAATTCATGGACCTGGCAGGGCCGGGCTTCCCCATTAACCTATACTGTTATTTTCAGGTCACTAGAGACAGAAATTTTGGGCTCTCAGATGGGGAGAGAAAGCACGATTACAGGTCTCATATAACTGTGCAGGGTCGCATGTCCCTCTCATTCCTCTAGCTAGCCCTTCAATTACTGATGAAGCACTGACTCGGTGTCACTCGCTCTCTGTGTCCCTGGCAAAATGGCAGAGTGGGCAAATCTCCTCTGTGGGCCCTCCAGGGGCCTTATCACCTAATGTCTCTCTTTACCCCACCCCCTAGACCTTCCCCACGTCCGTCACTCTGGAAGGCAGCTAGGCTCCTCCCACCCAGCTCTCTCTAAACATGACCCACCCAGTGGTCCTTGCTCTCAAGGCCCAGCTGTTAGGTGAAGTCAAATATATTCCTAATAAAATGGGAGTGTTGGGTTAGATAAAGACCCTCCCCAGATCTGAGTGTGATTTCTACAATAGAATCACCAAATAAAATGAGAGGCAGGCAGGAAAAAAATTAATGGCACAAAAGAATGTTCCTTCTTCTCTCCCCAAGATGTCTACATACTAATCCCTGAAACCTGTAAATATGTTAGGTCACCTGGCAGAGGGGAACTATGTTTACAGATGGAATTAAGTCTGCCAATCAGCTGACTTTATAATAGGGAGAGTAGCCTGGATAATTAGGGGTGGGAGAAGAAATAATCACAGGGCCCTCAAAAGTGAAAGAAAGAACCAAAGAGTCAGCAGCCTGAGAAGAACCCTGCCTACTGCCATGGCTTTGGGGATGAGGATGAGATTGAGGGTGACGGGGGACAAACCAAGAAATGAGGGTGGATCTAGGCGCTGGATAAGCCAAGGAAACGAAATCTCCCGAAAATCTCCAGGAAGAATGTTAGCCCTGCCGGCACCTTGACCTCAGCCCAGTGAGACCCCTGTCACCCTTCCTACCCATTGAAATGCCAAGTAGTAAGTTTGTGTTGTTTTGGGGTGGGAGGAGGGAGAGGAGGGTAAAGGGGGTCAAATGTTTGGTAACAAAAGAAGACTTGATTTTGGGGGGTAAATACACAATGCAGTATACAGATGATATATTATAGAACTGTGTGCTTACAAACTATATAATTTAATTAACCAATGTCACCCCAATAAATTTAATAAATTTTTTTCAAATGTGTTGTTTCAAGCTACTATGTTTGTGGTAATTGGTTCTAACAGCAGTGGAAAATTGACATGGTAAGCTTGGCAGGTAAAGTATTAATTCTTACCTTTTTTTTCCATTTACCATCTTTATACATTTCTGAATCTCTTAGATCATGATGAGAACACCTCCTAGCTAGAGGCTCTCTAAAAGCCAGGCACCACGTTTGACACTCTGTGTGTGCATCTTCTCAAACAGCTTAGGACAAGGCCCTGATACAGTTTGCCTGACATGGCAGAGGTATGCTGTAAATATTTGTTGAATGCACAGATGGATGGACGGAGGGATGGGCAGGAAAACAGGCACTCCTGTTAAAGCCCAACATGACGGAACAGATGGGATAAATATCCCTTTAAAACAAACTAAGTGGTTATCATGCTCTGAGGAGCCCGTGCCTCCAACTAGCCTCCCTGAGTGGCGCCCCCAGGGTTTAGTTCAGGCCCCCCCAGCCCCTGAACCTCACCCTCCTCCCATGCCTCCCCCCAAACCCCGCCTCCTCCGGGGCCAGGCCCGCCACACACATACATGCTTTCTGAAGAGCTCCACGTGAGGCCCCAGGGCCTGCGGGTCAGCGTCTTTCACAAACCAGACCACATCCTCCACGGTCCAGGTGGACGGGTTCTTGCTCCGTGGCCGCCTGGCGTCCTGCCCGTCTGGAGAAGGGCTCGAGGCTGGGTGGGTGAGCAAGGAGAGCGAGGCCATTAAACACCAGGACCAGGGCCTCACATCTACCTGTGTTGCCTGCTCCCACCTGGCCCTCAAGTCCAAGGCGGTGGCCTGAGTGACCTCCTTTGATAAAGAAGGGCTGTGTGTGTCTGCATCTGGTTGTGACCCAATGTCTCTCTAGCTTCCCTTCTCTACCACTAGCTGGTGCTTTTGCTTCTGTCTATGAGATATTCAGCCTCCCTCCTTCTCACAGAAGTCCCACCTGCCCCCAGGGCCCTGGGAGATCCCTTCCCAGGCAGCACTTCTGTGTCCTGCCATTAGAATGTCACCTTTCTTCACTTTTAACCCCTAAATATTTGTTTGTTCTCTTAAGATGCTCTCCAGTCTGTTTTGCATCACCACTATGTATATACTTGTTTGTAACATCCAGTTAGAGTTTAATTTCTTGAGGATGATCTTTTTCATCTTCCCCCAATTCATTCCACAAACATCAATTGAGCATCTCTTCTGTACCAGGTCCTGGGCAAAGTAGTGAAAAATGCTGCCCACTCCTTACAGGGTCTATAACCACTCGCCCCTCCATGGCTCTGAGCAAATATGTTTATAAAAACTGAGTCAATCCATGTAAAATGATTCGATGTACTTTCCAGAAACAGTATAAATAACTTAAGAAGAGCCTTGTGTGGGTAATCCTTAATCCTATTTTCGGGCCAGAAAAAAAGTATAGGCTCTGAACAATGAAGCCCCTTTCTCGCAGACAGGAGAAGCCTTTGCATCTGTTTCCCTTCTCAGTCTCAGGGCGCAATGGTTTTCTGCTGTCTCTTTTTCCTTCCTCTTTGTAAAGTGCTTGAGAAGAGCACAGTTCTCCATCAGTGCCGAGAAAAGCCCAGCATCGCATTTCCGAGCCTGTCCTAAATACAGACGGTTTGCTGGAGGATGGGATTTACTTGGAGATTTCCCCTGCCTTTTCCATGTTGGGCCTGGAAGGGGCCCGATAAGGTGGTCTGGCACGGGGCATTTTGCCAGGAAGCTGTTAATGCCCCCTGGAGCCATCTGAATGCTGATGTGTGCTTATTAGAGATGATTGCGCTGCCTTTAGAGACACCTCCACTCAACATGGGGACGAGGCATCACCAAAGTCGCGTTCGCCGCTGGATCCCACCAGAGCTTCAGCATTAATCAAGGTGATGATAGATGCCCTGATTACAAAGGCTGGAAGTCTACAGCGCCAAGAGTGATTGTGGAGGGATCAGAGCAGAGGTCAAACCTAATTTCCTGTATTTCATAGAAAGGAATAACAACCAGACCGATTCACAGTCTCATCCATGGGATCCTAAGCTCCCATGAGCAAGGTCAGGGCACAGGCCTGGCGCGGGGGTGCCGCGTCGTCTATAGGGCGGAGGTGCTCCAGGTGATGGCTGCGGGGCGAAAGCTCCCCTCCCGGGGCCTGGTGCTTGCTGGGGGCATTTTTCACTTTGCCAGGCTGGACGGGCAGCAGCCGGCCTGGCTGGGGAATCTTTCTGAGGGGCCTTGTAGTCACACAAGACGGAGAGCAGCAGGAAGCCTGCCACGCCTGGGAAGTTGCTCAAATTCCAAAGCATGTAGTACACAGGCTCTAGAAGGAAGAGAGATGGAACTTCCCAGGGGCAGGTTTGTAAAGCCTTTACAGTGGCCTCTGCTCACAGAGATAATAAATATACTAGCTCCCCCACCTCCAGCTGCTGTGAAGGTGTCGGGAAGACAGATAGGTGCTGCCTGACATGGCCAGGCTGGGCAGATGTGACTGGACATTGGTAAGATTGGTGACAGATGTGAAAAAATCTTGCTCCTAAAAGAACAGAGCATGCAAAGCGCTTGCCCAGCGCCTTTGGGAAGGCAGCATTCTCCAGGGCAGAGAACTGAGTGTATAGTGGCGTCCATGTACTGGGGGTTGCCCGACGCTTGTGGAAAGTGAAATCCAGTTGTGAATGGATGTGTAATTAAAGATGATTGTTGTCATTTCTAAAGCTCAACTCACATTCCGCAGGAATAGAGTGACTATGAACCAGGGTTTAATGCGATCCCCGACATTTTCACAGCATGGGCACTTGGACCGCTGTCTTGGGTTTCTCTCTGCCTCACACATACCACCAAGCACATGCATAATTTCCTTTTGTATCTTCAAAATTCAGAGAAAACTTTTTAGCTAATGATAGAGTCAGGAGAAAAATGGAGTGAGCAACGAGCTGGGAGTCAGACACCCCTACTACCCACCAGCTATGTGAGTGTCTTTGTGCTCCTCAGGTGTGAAATAAGGGAGCTGGGAAGGCTCTCTGAGGTCCCTTCCGCCTTGGACACTGTACGGTCCCTTCACACCGCAGGCTGTCCTGGGTAGCACTAAGGGAGTTAGCTTCTCACACACCCGAGAGCCCCATCTGTGTCTATGTGCAAAGCCCCTGAATGAAGAGTCATCGGCCAGACTTCCAGTTCCTGTCCTGGCCCTGATCATTCTCTAGGGGACTCAGTTTCTTCAACTTATTCCTCAAGAGTATTGTAAGGATCAAGTGAATTTGTACACTAGTTTCGGGCTGGAGACCCACAAGAAGCATCTGAAGAAAAGCTCATCAGTGTCTGAAAGGGACGCCTTGGAGCCCCTTCTCGGGCTGCCTGCAAACCTCCGCAGCCCTCTCAGGCTCTCTGGGCAGCTAGGGCTGGTCTGGGAGGAGGTGGAGGTGAAGAGAGGAGATCTGCTCTCAGCTCCTCCTGGTTATCTGGGCTCCGTAGAGGTACCCTTCCTAGAAACATGGCCGTGCAGAGGGCAGCAGGTGCCCGGGTTAGCCCACAATCTGGGCCACATCAGGCAATTTGAACACAGTATTGTTTTTTATGATGTCTATTACAATAATTTTCATTACGAGGTGAGGGAGATGGGAGATAGAAGAAGGCCTGACCAATCCTTAGGTTTTAATCGGGGTTTTCTTCTATTCCTTAAAGACCAGCTGACTTGCCTGTATGAGAAGGGAAGATACTTCTAAGAATAAGGGGAAACCACAGGACTGAAGTGAGGTCGAGCTGGGCCAGATTCTTCCTCTGCCACCACACACACCGTGACCTCTGGGCAAGCCATTTGATCTCTGCCAGGAAGCCTCTAGCCTCGCCTCCTCCCCACGGCCCCTCCTCGGCCAACTCCTGTCCCTCCCCCCACCGCCCCATGCCGCTGGCTCCCCCGTCACTGCCCTGGGAAGCCTTTCCTGACTCCCCACAGCAGGCTCAGCGACCCCTCCCTATCTAAGCCTTTCATAGCACCCATCCTTTTCCTTAGGAGCACTAGTCCCAGTTGTAATTAAATTTGTGCAGTTGCTAATGTTTGTCTCTCTGTAACAGGGTGCACATCTATCTTGCCCTCAGCTCTGTCCTCAGACCTGAGAAGATCCCCTGGCACATTGTGCTCAATAAGCATCTGCTGGCCAGGACTGACAAATGCCTCTCTAAGTCATGGCTGCCGTAACTCTTCTTTTGCCCCAGAATGAATAGGCCTTTGCCACACCCTCAGACATTCCACGCACATCACATAGAGTGCTGTTCCCCTTCTTTTTCTGGCTGAATCGCCTCTATCCATCACTCAACACCATACCCTGTGGAAGCAAACTCCAACCCATGGGAAGCATTTAGGTGGTAATAACAATGTCAGATTTACTTTGTTTCTTGATTCTGAAGCTTGGGCCTTGTTGTGTTTCGGAATTCTACAGCATGTCCTGTTATAAACAAGAGTCAAGATGCTTTTGTTATCTGAAACCTCTTAGTGATTACTTGGATGAGAGATAGGAGAGAGCTCTCGAATTTTCACCTGAGTATTAGCAAAAAAAAAAAAAAAACAACAGGGAAATAGGTCCTGTAAATGCATTCCTTCCGAGACCACTGGCAGAGGTGATAGGTGTGATATATCAAGACAGCAGGTGGCCAGGGTAAGTATTCAAGGTTGTCATGTCATCGATATCTACTCTCCTGCCTGCAGCCTCATGCCATTTTCGGCTTCTGTGGTTTTAATCCATTTTGATTAGCACCATGGGGGAAAATCCATTTCTAGGTTCCTTCCAGGCTTTATGACGTGGGTCAAACCCTCTTAAAGAGGTATGGTTCCTTAATGCCAACTGCTTTCACTTGGGATGCAATTTCAAGGCAATACTGAGCAGTTCCTTGGGCAGAGGGAAAGCTTAATCGCCCTCCGGAGGGCCCACAGCAGGCAGCTAGGTGACAAATGGGTAAGGAGGACAATGGTTCTCTCTCCTCCTTTAATACACTGCCCCTCCATTCAGCATGGTTTATTTCCATAGTTTCCAAATGTGTTTAGCTGTGCCCATTTTGTTCAAGCAAAGCACACATAGGACCCCACTCTACAAATGCAAAGGGACCCTGCCTGCTTAATGGGGGCATGGTGCTGGAGTCCTGCCTGCTCCCATCCCCTCTCCCCCATCCCCTAGATCTCCGAGGGTTAGGTGCTCAATAAATAGCTATTTAGTATATGTGTATGCGTTGAACAAGCAGGCCCCTTTTCTGGGGCTGCAGAGGATACAAATATGAGCAAGAAACCTTGCAAAGCTGTGAGTCTTGTTCCTACTATGGGGCCGGAGAGAGAAAGTACTAAAGATGAGGAAACAAAGTGCCAGGGGAGGAAGCAAGAGAGAATGAGCAGGTCTAATTGCGAGGTGTGGCCGAGGCTTCTGGTTGCCTATCCAACATCTTTTTTCTGCTGCTTCTTTTGTAATGGACTCTCAGATGTCCTGTGCCCATGGTTACTTAGAATCAAAACTATACTTCCCTGTTTCCCTTGCAGCTCGTGGCCATGTGACTAAATCCTGGCCAATGAGATGTAAGCAGAAGTGAGGAAACCTTTTTCAGAGATGTGAGCACTGCCCCCTGCCCCTAATTCTCGCTGTCCCCTTCCTTCATCTCCGTGCTGAGACTCTGCACAGCTGGCTGGCTCTTTCTAAGATCTGTGCTTCCATTTAGCACCAAGAAGGCACTGATTAAGAGGAATCTTTGGAGCATTAGAGTTAATGCACTTACAAAGGGTAAATAATTTGACTTTTCTCCAGTGCATCACAAAGGCTCGACAATGAATTTCAACTGTTACATCCTGCAGCAGCTTTACTCCAAGGAGGCTGGGCAGCTGGGTGATTCCGAACCTCCCACAGCCCTAGGGCATCCTGATGACTGTGAACAACTCTAATTTTCAGGGTATCTATCAGGCCAATTTCTCACTACTATTTCTAAGTTGTAAAAGAGACAATTGACATTCAGGATATAGTTAGTGGTTTGCTGGGAGCGGAAGGCAGCAAGTACTGGACGGCTCTGCTCCTCTGATCGCACCCAAGGTCCTGAGAGGCCCAAGTCCTGAGCCAGAGGGCTCTCCTGGGGGTGCAGCCAGGGCTCCGACAGAGAGGGCTTTCTCTCAGCTGGTTCCAAGTGAGAGTCTGGGCTTCCCCTCTGGCAGATTACTCAGACAGCTGATCAGGGTCTAACTCCAGGAGGACAAAGAGTTGGGGTAGAGATAAAAAGAAAGGATAGGACAATAGTTGAAATTGGGGTGGGAGGACATTCCAGGGCTCCCCTGGGGGAGGCAGCAAGGGACTCGGGCAGAGGGGCTCCCCTGAGCCCCTTTGACAGGCCCTGGACTCCCCTCATCCAGGCAGCCCAGGTGGACTGGGATGGGCAGACGATTCTACAGCCAGTGACAGTTCTCTCCGTCCAAATCATGTCTCCCTCCTATCACTTGAAATCCTACACGTAACACATAGGGCCTGAGACCTACCAACATGAATGATGGATTGAGTAAATAACTCCTTTTTAAAAGAAGCAACACTCTTAGCGTTAGATCAATTCATTCAGGGTGGTGTCCTGTGATCACTACCCTGAGCAAATGGGAATTGGGTTGCGGAGAAAAGGTTGAGAGAAAGAGACATGTAAAGGGCAGAGAGACACCAGGGTGAGAGTTTTGACAACCAGAGACAACATGAGGGTACAGGGCACCATGGTGGTGGGGGGCGGGGGGCAGGTACAGAGATAATGTTTATTGAACACCTACTATATGCCAGGTGTTACTCCAGCTCCGGAGATAAACCTGGGAAATAAATGCTGCACGCTCACTTACTTTAAGACATTGGTTTGTGCCTGATCTTGTTCCCTTCTCTTGTTCTTAGAGATCAGATGAAGTGTCTCTCCTGTTTGAAAAATGCGCTCTGCCTACTCACATCCTCTGCCTGGCCTATGGCCCTGGGTGACGGGGTTGGGGAGTGGTCTACAGGGTGCCTGTACATTTGGGAAGAGCCCCCCAGCAGAGGGAGTCTGTGCTGTGCCCCTTAGAACTGCCTCCCTTCAAGGGGTCCCTGCTTGCCCCTCCGCCCTCAGCCAGCAAAGGCTTGTCCAGGGTGGGTGAGGCTCTTTGAGGGGAGTGTGTGGAGGACCTTGGATCATACAAAAGTAGCTCAATGCTGTGGCTTCTCAGGGCGGCTTCTGGTGAGATCTAAGGCTTGGGGCAGAAATGTGGATTGCCAGAGAAGACAGCCGGCCCCCTGGGAGGCACTGGAGGGGCCAGGTGAGGGCTCTCTGCCTCCTTGGCCTGGCTTTCTTTCTGCAGCAGTTCCCAGCTGCTGAGTTGATGAGCAGTGCTCTGCTGAGGGGTGTGCTCATGTGATCTGTGACTTCTAACATTGATTGAGCTCTTACTTTGTCCTAAATACACATAAGAACTTATTTAATCCTCCCAACAAACGTATGGGGTGGGTGCTACTATTATTATTCCTATTTTACAGGTGAGGAAACTGAGGCACAGAGAAGCTCAGACTTGCAAAAGGTCAAACAGAAAGCGGCAGATCCAGGATCCCAGCCCAGGGCCTCTGGCTCCACAGTCCGTGTGATTATCCACTATGCTCTGTAGCCTCTATTCATTGACGAAATACTGAAGCTTGAAAATAACTTTAAAAAAATCAGAACGGACGCCAAGCTATCCCTACAATGACGGCACTTTCATACACTGCATCCCAACAAGTGCTCCGGAACGGGGGAGACCGAAGTGGCGTTGCAACAAGTACTGTGGGAATTTCGCTTCACTCTGGTTCTGCCCATGGGTTTGTATCCTGCAGGTATTGCCCACTGTGCAGGAGAAAACTCTTTACTAACAGCTTTTTGTTCCTGGCACAGAGCTGGTCTATGCCTTTCAGACTCCCTTAGAGTCAAGTGTGGCCAAGTGGCCAGCTCTTGCTAAAGACACGAGTGGAGGGGATGTGACCATTCCCGGGCTCTAGGGAAGCGTGTGTGCCTTCTCCACTCGCTCTTTCCCTTTCCACCCCCAGGTGCTTGGGGCATGGAGCTCCGGGGCAGGGGCGCGGGGCGGGCAGAGCCTCAAAAGGAACAGAGCCTGGGTTCTTGAACTGGGATGCACCTACCAACGAGGCACATGCACTTTGGTCTCTCTCTCTTTTTTAAAAATCCTCACCCTAGGATACATTTATTGATTTGAGAGAGAGAGGAGGAGAATGAGACAGAGAAAGAGAAACATCAATGTGAGAGAGAAACATCCATCAGTTGCCTCCCGTCCGCACCCTGACTGGAGATTAAACCCTCAACCTTTCGGTACACAGAATGATGCTCCAACCTACTGAGCTACCTGGCCAGGGCTCAGCTTGGTCTCTTAAACAAAAATAAACTTCTTTTGTACTTGAATCACTGTACATTTTTGGAGTCTACTTACTTCTACAGCCTAACCTACACTAATACACCATTTTTGCTTGTTGTCAAAGGCTGAGGTCAGCTGTCTCCAAGGGCGACAAAAATTCATGAGGAGGCTTGTGGAAACTGCCGATTCCCCAGTGTTCCCACATTCTAAGAGCCACCTCCCCTCCGCCCCTCCATGCACTTGCCCCAGGGCACGGGCAGAGGAGGTTAAATCTCAGGGAAGAAGCCAATGCAGGCATTACATTACCACATCTGTTGCCTTCAAGAGAGGTCCCATTCCTCTTGGGGCTGGAGCCTGGGGGCCTCAGCCCAGGTGCCGAGGGGCCTCCAGAGGACATGGGACTGGTGCGGGGACCGCCGGCAGTGCTGGCTGGGCCTCCCCCAAGGTGGCCATCTCCGCAGTTCTGCCTCTTGCAGCAGAGCGAGGAGGAGGTGGGCAAGGAGCCCCTGCGGCTGAAGGCGGAGGCGGAGGGGTCCACGCTGTAGCGGTTCATGCCCACCGTTTTCACCAGGCTCTCTTCGGTGGTGACTGTGTTTGCTAAGCAAGAAAGCAGGGCAGAGAAGCAGAGATCAGAGGCAGTTCAAGGGCCCACGTGGCGCTCAGTCTCTGCAAACCTTCCCCAGCAGCAGAGGCTCCGCGCTCTGAGGACAGGGGCTGAGGAGGACCGGACCCCATGGCATAATCCCAGGCGGCTCGCCTCTCGGGGGCCCCATCTCACCACAAAGCGTGTTCTCACAGGGACTGGGAGGTGCGCCCCTCCATGTCCGAAGGAAAAGTCACTATCTTGGTGGTTGATGACTTGGAAATAAAATGTGAACAAAAGTCTTCCCCCTCCGCCGCTCTGCCCCTCTGGCAGGCGCTGCCGGCTTGTCTGAATCTCCCTGCATTCTCCTCTCTCGCCCACCGTCCCTGCCTCCCTCGCCCGGCGGTGCTGCAGAGAAACCAACCCTCATGCGCTGCTGGTAGGAGTGTAAAAGGGTGCAGCTTCTGTGGAAAAGTCTCGCTCTTCCTCACATGGTTAAAAATAGAGCTATTGTATGACCCAGCAATTCCACTCCTAAGTAAATACCCAAGAGAAATGAAAACATGTTCACATACAAATTTGTGCATGAGTGTTTATAGAAAAACTATTCATAAGAGCCAAAACAACCCAAACAGCTCTCCACTGATAAGTGATTAAAGAAGATGTGGTCTATCCATACAATGGAATATTATTCAGGTATAAAAACAAATGAAAGGCTGATACTGCTACAGTGGCTGAGCCTTGAAACATTATGCTAAGTGAAAGATGTCAGCCTCAAAAGACTGCATATTAAGTGATTCCACTTATATGAAATGTCCAAGGCAGGCATATTTGTGGAGATAAAAAGTAGATTAGTGGTTGTCTAGGGCGTGGGGGTTGAGGGGATACAGGGTGCTGGCTAGAGGGTGTTAAAAATGCCTGGCAACGGGCAATCGCTGCACATATTTGTGACTATACTAAAAACACTGGATCATACACTTTAAATGGGGGAGTGGTATGATATATGAATTATATCTCAATAAAGCTGTTCTAAAAAGTTATCGCAGAAGGCCAGTGTTAGGGGTAAACACAAGCTTGAGAGCATTGTACAGTCAAGCCCGACAGACACTGCTCTGGCCACTGGGACAGGAGGGAGCTGAGCAGCCTCAGGGTGTGCACGCTCTGGGCCTCGTGCCTCGTGGCCCATGGGGGGCTGCGAGGTGTCTTCAGCACCCGGAACACTGCACCTGTGCCTGGATGGACTCTACTGCATCTCTTCCCTCTGGGTCAGAGGACATCAGTAGAAAGATTCTAAAATGGGCCAAGCTACAGAGCTATATGTTAGGCTGCTTCTTGAATGCAGTGAGGAAGAAGAACACTAACATTTATTGAGCACCGACTATGGGCCAGCATCATTCTAAGCCAGTGAGCAGTAAGTACAGTCTTGTGCACCAATGCATTTTGTATCCCCAGTGCTTTGGTATATGTGAGGAAGCAGCTCACAGTGTATGGCACACAGAAGGCACTCAATACATATTTACTGAGTAGATATTTGGGCCAATATAACAGTGAGGCAGAATATGCATAAAAATTCAGATTATAGCCCTGATGGGTGTGGCTCAGTTGGTTGGGAGCAGTTCTTCAAGGTGAAAGGCTGCCGGTTTGATTCTTGGTCAGGACACGTGCCTGGGTTGCAAGTTCAGTCCTCTGTCGGGGTGTATACAAGAGGCAACCAATCAATGTTTCTCTCACACATTGTTGTTTCTCTCCCTGTCTTTCTCCTTCCCTTTTCTCTCTAAAAAAATAAATCAAGGCTTTAAAAAGTTTTAGATTATAAAGGATTAAATATAAATTCTTCATGTTAGATGCATAATAAACAATGAAAAAAAGATGGAACTAAAACATTCTGTTTATTAAATACAAATTAAATATGTCTATAGAATTCTGATGGTTTAAGGTAGAGAATGCAGATAAGTCATCAATCTCCACTATAGCTGGGAAATGCAGATGCAGATGGAAGACTGTTCTCCTATGACAACATGAGGAAATGGGGAACAAAGAAACATGGATGTGATTGGCTTAAAAACTGCCAGTGACCATGGTTGAGCTCGAAGGTAATAAAAGCCAGCTTCTGGGCTATGATCCAAATGAAGTAATTAGAAAATAAAACCTCCTTAAAAGAGCACCAAGCATTAGCCCTCTACTTCGCACAGGATGTGCCAGCTAGGGAGACAACCATGGAGACATCACCAAGCCCCAAGCATGCCTCTGCACAACCTGTAGCTCCCAGGAAGCCTGGGAGCGAACACCAGGGTCAGGTACTCACACCAGGATGCCATTCAGAATTGACGAGCTGCATCTGCTCAAACCAGATGCAAACAGCCTTTTCTCACCTTTATAAATAGGGGCGCTGATGCTTGCATCATACCTGACTGATACAACGAAGGCCATCATCACCCAACCACAGGACTGAGAAGGACCTTCACAGAACACCCAGCCCAGCAGGTCCCTCGGTGCTAAGTGTATACCTCTGGTGGGACGGGGGATGATTTTAGGTGGTACTCTGGTATATTAGTTTCCTAAGTCTGCAGAAATTACTACTGACTTGGTAGTTTAAAGTGACAGAAATGTATTCTCTCATAGTTCTGGGCTCTGGAAGTCTGAAATCAAGGTGTCAGCAGGGCCATGCTCTCTCCAAATGCTTCAGGGTAGGATCCTTCCTTGTCTCTTCTGGCTTCTGGTGGTTGCCAGCAAGCCCTGGTGTTCCCTCATTGTAGACTCATCACCCCAGTCTCTGCCTCCACTGTCACATGGTGCTCTCCCTGTGTGTCTGTGACTGTGTCCAAATTTCCTGCTTCTTATAAGGACACCAGTCATTGGATTAGAGCCCATAGTCCAGCATAACCTCATCTCAATTTGATTACATCTACAAAAACCCTGCTACCAAAGAAGGTCTTATTCATAGGCATGGGGGTTTGGACTTGAACATAGATCTTTTAGAAAAACACAGCAAGTGAATATTATTTTTTATTATCATACATATAATTTAGTATGCATCAATAAAATATAATCAGCCCATCAAACTATGATTGCACTGATATGGGATCATTGCTTAAGATGACTAAAGTCTAAAGTTAAAAGAAATGAATACATTTAGAGGAATATCATGAGTAAACACTTTTATAAGTGTTACTCAAACATAAGAACTGTGAAGGTAGTGTATTAACGCTGGAATGCACTGAGCTAGCCCTAACCCCTCTTTTCAGCCAGGCAGTATCTAGAAAGAAAAATAAGGTAAAGAACTGAGCCAAGATATTTGATACTCTCCCTCACAGTTTTGGTCACTGCTACAAATCTCATTGCCTGAAAGTTCTTTCTTACATCTATCCCCAATTCCTCTTGCTTCAGCTAAAAAAAATGACTACTGGATACATACCCTTTATATTATTCAAAACCATTAAGGTATGTGGTGTGCAGATAGATGCATTACAGGTATGCAGAACTTGCAGTAGCTTAAAATTTTAATAAAGGATGACATATGGATGTTTGTTACCAAAAACCACTATTTAAAGTTGGAAAAAGAAGGACAAAACCTGTACCTGGAGAGAGAACTATACTTTTCAAGCAGTTTTGTGACCAGCTGGTGAGTGAACACCAGATGGGGCCAACAGACTTGGGATTGTCCAGCCCGAGTGCCCCGTATGGATCCAACCTCTGCACACAGACGCATACAAATCACCTTTATGGTTCTTTCCTCCTGGATTCTTAGAAAATCCCTTCTTATCTGAAATGAGCTGTCTCATTACCCTGGCACCTATCACTAAACAAGAGGATCCAACCCAGCCTCTATTTAAGGCCATTTAATCCCTGTGGAGTCCACCAGCTCAGCAAAGCAGGGCAAACAAAAGGTGTTTTATGCACTTCCCTTCTATAACCCCTGCTGCCTCTATCCTAGAGACTAAGGCTGCCACTTATAAATCATTCAATTTTTCCTCCAGAAAAAGGAATAATCTGCTTTTGTATGGTCACATGAGCAGGCTTACATAAAAAGGCAAGGGCAAAATGGCACATTCAAAGACGCCTGCCACCTTTTCGGGGTTCAGTGTCTTGGGAACCTCCAGGAGAGCCCGATGTTCCTTTTTTACCATTGCTAATCTATGGACCATGATTTTCCCCAGCCTGCCCAGTAGGGAGTCCACAGAACACTCTAAACAGGACAAACCCGTTCAAGCCTCAAAGGATACCCCCTTGCTTCTGAACCTGAAATGTGTCTAAGCCGCTCTGTTTGGGGAACAAGCTCCAGGGTCAGGAATGGGCGGACTCCCCCTCCTCCCTCATCCCTACAGAGGCCTCTGCAGCCACTTCCAGGACGCCTGGCGCAACCACTCCTGCTGTGGGTCTGGAGAGTGGGGCGTGAGCACCTGGAGGACCTCCAAAGAAAAGCAGGAAAAGGCCGGCAGACAAGAAGAAAGCCAGGGCCATAGAGGGAAAGAGTCTCAAAGCGGCGGGAGCAGCACAGAGAGGGAAAAGGGGCCCATGTGTATGAAACCGCAGCAGGCGTGGACCCCTTGTCATTTAGGACACAAGACCTCACTTTTCACTGTTAAGTGAACTTGGACTATTTATTTTATTTAAAAATTTAAAGGGGTACTTTACTTGGATTCTCTAATCAAATGAAGCCCTGAAAAGCAACAATAACTCCATCAGCAAAATTATGATCAAATAATACCTATTCATGCAATAATAACCCCCAAATTCCAGAGTTTTAGACACTATTCTTTCTCTGTTCTATCTCTGTCTCTCTCTCTCCTTCACACACATGCACACGCGCGCGCACACACACACACGTGCACACATACAAACACACTCTCAGCCTTCACTCCCCACCTTATCTCCTCACTTGGGTCATAACCTCCTAATTGCAGGAGTAACTGCACGGGGTGAAGCCTTTCTACCACCATCACCGCCACCTTCCCCAGGCTGGGAGCCTGTGTCTTTCTCATATCAGTTGCCAGCAGGCCTGCTCAGCCGGCAG